GGCGCCTGGGAGACATTTTTGAAGCCTTGTAGGGCCTCTTTTGAGCCTCCTTGGAGCCTCCTGGGGTCTCTTGGGGGCCTCTTGGCGGCATCTTGGGCCATCTTGGGGGCCTCTCGGGCCTCCTGGGGCCTGCTTGGGGCGGAAGGCTTGAGGTTTCGGTTCGTGGTCCCCATCTTGGGCCCCTCTTGGGGCCGTCTTAGGGCTCTCTTGGGCCGTCTTGGGCGTCTCTTGGGCCGTCTCGGGGCCCGTTTGGGCTCTCTGGGGACCTTCTTGGGGGCCTCTTGAGCCGTCTTCGTGCGCTCTTGGAGGCCTCTTGGGCCGTCTTGGAGCATCGGAAAGCCGAAAATGCGACAAGGTCAAAATCCTTCCAAAACCATTGTAAAATTGATGATTTTGGCCTCGGGGCGCTCTTGTGAGGCCTCTTGGAGGCCACTTGGAGCGTCTTGGCGGCTTCTTGGGCCGTCTTGGGATCATCTTCGGCGTCTTGGAGCGTCCTTTGGGCGTCTCGGGGGCCTCTTGGGCAGTCTTGGGGGCCTCTTGGGGCCCTCTTGGCGCGCTCTGGGGGGCCTGAGAGGCCGTACCCAGGAGGAAAACCATCTCTGAGTAGACCTTCCCTGGCTGCGGTCGGGGTACTTTTCGCCGGGGGACGCCCAGGGGCCGCCCCGCGCGCGCGAACTAGAAATATTGTTAAGTAGTTACTGGAGATCTTAGCACGCCTCTGGCCCGTTGGGCCGGCGAATTGTTGATCCCCCTGCCCGTTGCACACTGCATTTTTCAATGGAAGTGCCCCTTCTGGGGCTCGCACCCTTTTTTTTAATCGGGGGAAGTCTGGAGCGTCAAACTGCGCCCCCCTGCCTCCGAGTTGCGTCGATGGTGGCTCCCGCCTGCTGCTCCCGCACAGTGTATCGAGAGATCGGGCTCTCGCGAGGGACGCCCTCCCAGCTTTTGCAAGAATTCGCGCTCTCGCGCGTGACTTTCCCGCCATTTGTCCAGACGCCGCGCCCTCGACATTCAGGAACCGCGCTCTCGCTGTGGGTTCCCTGGCGATTCCTTTGGGAGTCGGCGCCATCGCCAGAGACTCCCTCGCGATTCATGCAGGACGCACGCTTCAGCAACCCGCCTCGACCTGGCCGCCTGGGCCCGCCTTCCCGACCCGCTCGCTAGGTTCTACCGCCCGATCTGCCCGTCTGGTTCTGCTGCGTGTTTTCTTTTCCGAGCCCCCCTCCTGCCACCCTCTCTCGTGCTCCATCCTCCTTCCCCCGTCCCTTCCTTCGATCCGTCGTCTCTTCCCCTGCCTTAGGGTCTGCACGAGTACGCGTCGCAGGTCAGAACGATATATCCCCCCAAGGAGGGCACGGCCGAAAACGAAGAGGGCGGGTATCGAGGCCTTGGAATATACGTGTTGACTGGCCCGCGAGCAGATACGAGCGAACAGTCTTAAACATGACTGTACTAGTCGTAGTTTAATTCTCACTTCTGAAGAACAAGTACGGTGGGCCCCCACCCGTCCGGTAACCATTTCAGTGCTTCTCCCGCGGCTCGCACCCTGTTTTCGAGAGGGGAAACGAGGGGCCACCAAACTGCGCCCCTGTTCCCAAGTCGCGCTCTTGCGCGGGACTTCCTCAACATGTATGCAGGAATCGCGCTCTCACGTGGGACTTCCCTACAAGTGATTCAGACGCCGCGCCCTCGACCCCCGGGGGCCACGCTTTCGTTGTGGATGTTTTACAATGCGCTCGTGAATCGCGCCATCGGTCGAGTCTTCCTCGCGATTCATGCAGAATGCGCTCTCCAGCATCCCGCCTGCTCGACCTGGCCGCCTGGGCCCGCCTTCCCGACCCGCCCGCTAGGGTCTGCCCACCCGATCTGCCCGTCTGGTTCTGCCAAGTGTTTTCTGTTCCGAGTCCCCCTCCTGATAATTCCGTGCTCCATTCTCCTCCTCTTCATCCGTCCCCTCTTCCTTTGTTTCAGGGATTGAATCAATCACACGCAGCAGGTAAGAAAAGATATACCTCCCAGGGGGTTCGATCGAAGAAGTGGGCGGGTATCGAGGGTGCGGGATATACGTGTTGAGTGGCACGCGAGCAGATTAGAGCGAACAGGTTACATGATTCGTAATATTACTAGTGATGTTGCTGTTGAACCTTAAGTGGTGAATAATTTTCATTGCTGGACGCTCTGATTGCACGCGTTCGCGCTCTCTGCTAGGCGCCAGCTGCACTTCCTTTGAAACTTAGGCTCGCGCCCAGGCGTTTCGGGGTTCCACCAAAACCGCCCCCCGACAGCAACAACACTCTGGCTCGATACTTCCGCCTTTCTCACTCGGGGTCGGGGCTCTTGCTTGCCCCCCCCCAAAGCCGCCTTTCCAACAACATCAGCGCTTCCGCTCGATACGTCCCTGCTTTTCACGTCTTGGTCGGCGCCCCCGCCTCAGGACCTCCTCTAAACAACGACGCTCCCGCTCGATACTTCCTCCGCTCTTATTCCAAATTTCCGGGAGGCCCTGAGGCTTCCCTAGTCCCTGTTGAAACTTACATATTCAACAATTGTTATTGTTGGAGACCCTGGATGCGCTTTCGCGCTCTCGCGCCTGCTGCGCGCGACCTCGCTCTCGCTCGTGTCCTGGGGCTTGGCGTCGCCGTCGTCGCCGCCTCCGCCGCCGCTGTCGTCGTCGTCGGCGTCGTCGCGTCGTCGTCGTGGTCGTTGTCGTCGTTGTCGTCGCTAAACAGTTATTATTGTTGGACACCGTAATTACGCTCTCGCGCCTGCTCCGCGCGACCTCGCTCTCGCTCGTGTCCTGGGGTGTGGCGTCGCCGCCGTCGTCGGCGGCGCCGCCGCCGCCGTCGTCGTCGTTGTCGTCGTCGTCGTCGTCGCGCTCTGGAGGCCTACGGGGGCCTCTTGGAACTCTTGGAGATGCCTGGGGACAGTGACATTTTTTGGAGGATGAGGAGGAGTACAGGGAGGAGGAGGAGAAGGAGGAGGAGGATGAGGAGGAGGAGGAGGACGATGACGACGAGCCCTGGCGCCATCAGGAAGCGGCCGACGCAACAGCGGCCCCCAGGAAGGGGTCGAAAGTTTGGGGGCGTAAGCTCTGGAATTTCTCTCAAAAGCTCACAGGTGATCTCCTCCTCCTCCTCCTCCTCCTCTTCCTCCTCCGTAAGCTCTGAAATTTCTCTCGAAAGTTTGGGGGCTTTCCGCGGTGATCGCTGTGAGGCCTCCCCCTGCGGTCTTAGGCCGTTCGGGCGTCGTGATACCTACAGGCAGAGCCCGGGCAGTGGGATTGCGGAGGCGATGTGCCATCCGTCCGGAGGTTCCGACGTGCTTCGGGAGAGGCGCTGTCAAGACCTGCTCGGGCGGGGGATTAAGGAACGGGGATATCGGACCCCCGTGACAAGAATCAACTCCCCCATGAGAGGGGCGAATTATCATGATGGATGCATGCGGCATATAGAAATATAGAGCATTCGGTTAAATGATTGTTGTTGTTTTTGACAACGCCTCATCCTTGAATTATGAGTATTCAAGTGCCCCCCATCGGGGCTTACACCCTGTTTTGTTCTGCAAGGGAGCCGTGGTGTCACCAAACTGGGCCTCTGGCCCCCAACTTGGCCCCCAGTTTACAGAACGATGCTGAGGGTAATGACGACGGTGGTAATACTGATGTTGTTGATGATGATGACGCTGATGATGATGATGATGATGATGATGATGATGATGATGATGATGATGATGATGATGATGATGCTGCTGATGCTGATGCTGATGCTGATGCTGATGCTGATGCTGATGCTGATGCTGATGCTGATGCTAATGATGCTGCTGATGATGATGATGATGATGATGATGATGATGATGATGATGATGATGATGATGATGCTGATGCTGATGATGATGCTGCTGCTGCTGATGATGCTGATGCCAATGATGATGGCGATGATGGTTGTGACGTTGATGATGGCGGTGACGGTGATTCATGATCATGATGATGACTATGTTGACGATGGTGGTCATGGCAATGATGGCTATGACGATAATGGTGATCATGATGGCTACTGCGATGAGGATGATGGCGATTCGGTGCCGATGAGGCTGATGCTAATACTGGTGGTGATGATGATGATATCGATGATGGTGAAGCTGTTGATCATGACAGTATGATGATGGGGATGAGTAGCATGAAGCAGGACGCAAAATGATGGTGCTGACGATGGTGGTGTTGATGATGAGGAAGCGGAGGAGAAGGAGGAGGAGGAGGAGGAGGCAAAACGGAGGAGGAGGAGGAGGAGGAGGAGGAGGAGGAGGAGGAGGAGGCGGAGGCGGAGGCGGAAGGGGAGGAGGAGGAGGAGGAGGAGGAGGAGGAGGGAGGAGGAGGAGAGGAGGAGGAGGAGGGAGGAGGAGGAGGAGGAGGAGGAGGAGGGAGGGAGGAGGCGGAGGCGGAGGCGAGGCGGAGGCGGAGAGGAGGAGGAGGGAGGAGGAGGCGGAGGAGGAGGAGGAGGAGGAGGAGGAGGAGGAGGAGGAGGAGGAGGAGAGGAGGAGGAGGAGGGGGGAGGAGGAGGAGGAGGAGGAGGAGGAGGATGAGGAGGAGGATGAGGGGAGGTAGGAGGAGGAGGAGGGAGGAGAGGAGGAGGAGGAGAGGAGGAGGAGGAGAAGAGGGAGGAGGAGGCGGAGGCGGAGGCGGAGGCGGAGGCGGAGGCGGAGAGGAGGAGGAGGAGGAGAAGGAGGAGGAGGAGGCGGAGGAGGAGGAGGGGAGGCGGAGGCGGAGGCGGAGGGAGGAGGAGGAGGAGGAGGAGGAGGAGGAGGAGGAGGAGGAGGAGGAGGAGGAGGAGGAGGAGGAGGAGGAGGAGGCTAAAGAGGACGAGGAGGATGTAGGGCGGAGATGAGGAGGGCCAGGAGGCAGGATGAGGAGGAGGACGACGAGGAGGAGGAGGAGGCGAAGGAGTACGTGGAGGAGGAGGAGTGAGGAGTGGGGGAAGGAGCGGGTCCGCGCCTTGGTCCGCCAGGCGGCCGCGGTCTGATCTTCCCGCTCGTCGACGCGGAGCACGACCTCCCCGATGGCCTGCGGGCGCCGTTGTACGGAGAGCTCCGAGGGGGGAGGGTGCACTGCCAGGGTATATCCATTTTGGCAGGCAGCACCGCCTGGTGCTGCCTGCCAAATCGCCGCCGCCCCCCCCCTAGTGGCTACATCGGCCGCCAGAGTGCAGCAGATGTGTGGGCCAAGCCAAGGCCTGAGCACTTGTCCTGTTAAAAGAGTTCGCGCGGGAACGTTTGTTTGGACCTCTCGTTGCCGAGCGGGGCCGATTAAGTAAGCTCCAGGTCAAAAGTCGAAAGAAATTGTTGCCAGTGATGGGTATTTAGGGTTTTGCACGTTAGGCAACGATTTGGCCGACTGCTGCGCTAAGCTAGTCGGATGGGCCTGTTTTCCACCACCACCATAAGTTGGAGGGGGAGGGGGTCCTCCTCCTCCACCTCCTCCTCCTCATCCCCCTCCTCCTCCTGCTTCTGCTGCTCCTCCTCCTCCTCCTCCTCCTCCTCCTCCTCCTCCTCCTCCTCCTCCTCCTCCTCCTCCTCCTCCTCCTCCTCCCCCTCCACCTTCTGGTGGTGGTTGTGGTGGAAAACAGGCCCATCGTGGTCGCGATGGCCCACGTGGGGCCGAGCCCCGCGCCCCGAGCCCCGGGGCGCTGTGGCCCATGGCGGTGCGCAGCCTGGCCTCCGAGCTCCTCCCGCGCTGACCCGCGCGTGATCCTACTGAGGCCACCAGGGCCGAGCTAAATCAGAGCGTGAATTACCTACCCCGCTTTCGAGGGCTCTTGGGGCCATCTTGGGGAGAAAGTCTCGGCATGTGAGTTTGTATTCCCCTTCTTGGGCCCCTCTCAGGGCCCTCTTGGGGCTTCCTTGGATCGTCTGGGGGGCCCCTGCGGCCGTCTTGGGGCCTTCTTAGGCCGTCGTGGGGCTCTCGTGGGGGCCTCGTTGGCCGTCTTGGGACCATGTTGGGAACTCCTTGGGCCTTCTTTGACGAAGAGGCGAGTATTCAGAGCGTGAATTACCTACCCCGCTTTCGCTTCCAGGCAAAACCAAGTCATAGCACGCGCCGCCTCGTCAAGCGGCCTGGCCAGTGCAGGCCGTAGTTTGGCATCGCTCGGTATCTCTCGGAAGCGAGGGTGGTCAAAAGCGAGGTAGGTTTGTTTTCCCCTACTAAAACCTGTGCCGCCGCCCCTCCCCCCCGAGTCTAGGACCAGTGGAGGAAAGTCTGGTCCTTCTGGCAGGGCAGCCGTTGTTTGAGGGCGTGTCGAGGGTGTGGCCGCGCAAGGACTCGGCGTGGTTCGAGAAACATGAGCTCGAGGCCGACACGTGTCAGAACACACGTGTATATTGCTTTCGAGTGCGGACGGGGGCATGGTACGTGTATGCCTCCGCTGAAAAGCGTTTTCGACAGGAATGTATGTTTGTTACCGCGGCCACAAGTGTTGACGGCAGCTTGTGCCCGTCGGAGCTTCAATAATTACTTGAATCGGATTCGCGCTGACATGAACTTCGAATTGAAGTCCGGTTGGCTGGACGCCGAGGCCAACAATGTGATCAGATGATTTGGCAAAGCCGCCGTGTGGCACCAGTCTCTGACACCCGTTTTTTGTTGTTTCGTGCTGCGGGGCGTGTGTTCTTACCCACGGCGAGCCAGTATATGCAAGAAGTACCGAGGTTGTCAGTTGCTCGGCTCCCAGTGGCCGAGAGGGTTGCGACATTCCGTAGGGGAGCAGCGCAGCGGCAGACAATCGTGTTCCTCATCTTCTTCCTCCTCCCCCCCCCCTTCTCGGATGCCTCCTAGTCGCACGGCCGCGATAGGGCTTCGCGCGCCAACGGGAAGAGTGGGCTGGGGGTCAGGCGCGGCCCTCGTCTACCTGTTTCTCGGCGTGAATATCGTCTCCGACAAGTCGGGGGGGGGGGTAGGCAGGGGAGGAGTAGGAAACAGAAGAAGAAGAAGATTCTGATGATGATGAGGAGGAAGAGAAGGAGGAGGAGCAGGAGGAGGAGGAGGAGGGGGTGAGACGGAGAAGGAGCAGGTTGAGGAGGGGGTGGTGGATGAAGATAATTGTAATGATGATGCTGATGAGGGTGATGATGATGGTGGTGATGCTGCTGGTGATGATGATGGTGGTGGATGGAACTGATGGTGATGTGTGTGATGCTGGTGATGACGATGATGGTGATGTCGCTGATGCTGATGATGATGACGTTGCGGATGTTCATGATGATTATGATGCTGATGCTGAGGATGCTGATGACGGTGATGCCGATGCTGGTGTTGGTCATGTGGTTGATTATGATGATGATGTTGTTGATGATGACGCTGATGATGACGATGACGACGATGATGAAATTGACGATGATGGATGTTTACGGTGATGTTGGTACATATTAGACGGATGTTGTTGATTATGACTATGTTGATGGTGATGCTGAGTTTGTTGATGATGGTGATGACGATGATGACGCTGATGCTGCTGTTGCTGATGTATAGTACGCTGATGACGCTGATGATGCTGATGATGCTGATGATGCTGATGCTGCTGATGTTAATGCTGATGAGGGTGATGCTGACGATGCTGATGAGTATGATGCCGAGGTCGATGTTGCTGCTTATGATGATGCTGATGCTGATCATGATGATGAAGGTGCTGGTATTGATGATGCCGATTATGTGGTGATGGAGATGATGGTGACGATGATGATGATGACGATGCTGATGCTGATCATGGCGACGATGACGATGACGATGCTGATACTGACGATGCTGATGCTGGCGATGCTGATGATGATGCTGATGATAATGATGTGGTTGCTGAGTTTGTTGATGATGGTGATGATGATGCTGATGATGATGGTGGTGCTGCTGTTGCTAATGCTCATGATGCTGATGATGCTACTGCTGATGATGTTGAGTATGATAATGGTGATGCTGATAATGATGATGCTGCTGCTGATGCTGATGCTGAAGGTGATGGTGAATGATGATGATACTGATGTTGGTCATACTGATGAGGCTGCTGATGAGGATTATTGCGTCGGGAACGCGAATCTCATGTATTTTTACATGTCCCACGGCCCCGCAGGAATTCAAACAGCGCGATTCAGGGAGGGTCACCGGGTGCTTTTCGGTTCCCTCCCCCTCGCGCGGACCCGAACCGTTTACAGCAAGAAGCATAATGCAGGACTACAACATTGGATACCGGAAACTGCAACTGGTGCACGGTGCTGCAACCTTCGTCCTCGCAGCCTGATGGCCCCACAAGGGGGGCAGCGGACATGCATAAGGAGGAAGAGGATGCGGAGGCGGAGGAATATGGAGGAGGAGGAAGAGGAGGAGGAGGAAAGTGAGGAGGCGGAGGAGGAGGAGGAAGGGGAGGAGGAGGAGCAACAGGACGAGCAGGAGATGGGGGAAGGAGACTCAGGAAGAGGAGGCGATGGAAGGGGGAGGGCGGGCTACTCAATCCTTAGAGGATGTTCTAGTATCGGGGGAACGTAAGACTCGGGTAAGCCGGAACTCGGTTTTGCCGACGTTTTTTGACGAGCGCGTCCTGGATTTTGACGGTCCAGTTTTCGTGGGATGTCTGCAGTGGGAGTTCGCGTCACATTTCAGATTGCGTCTCGTCATTTTTATGATGGACCCCGTCAGGCCAACCCGCGTCCCCCGTACCCGAGTCTTACGTCTCCCCGATAGTGGTGCACGAAGGTGCACAGGAACCCTGGGTCACCCCTGGGAGAGCCGAAACCAATTCGGACGCATGGCCAGGGCCCATCACTTGCCGAGGATCGCAACCGCTGGCGGTGGGAAAGCTCGCGCAGGCGATCGGGAGGGGGCCGGCAGCGCGGGTCAAGAGGAGGTGGAGGAGGAGGAGGAGGAGGAGGAGGAGGAGGAGGAGGAGGAGGTGGAGGAGGAAGACGTTCGGCGACGACGATGATGAGGATGATGAGGATGATGATGATGAGGAGGAGGAGGAGGAAAAGGAGGAGGGCCAGGACACCTCTTGGGAACCTTTTGGCTTTGCCCGAGGGGCCGTGCTGCACCCAACGACACACGCACCCCTGGGCAGGCACCTGAGCCCCTACCCAGACATGCACGCGCGCCGATACAGGTTCCACAGCGTACACCCGACGGGCCCCCGCACAAATCAGTCCTCGCCAGCGGCTGGTGCCCCGTCGGGCTCAAATCTTGGCAAGCGGCGAGGAGGAGGAGGAGGACCAGGAGGAGGAGGAGGAGGATGAGGAGGAGGGCGACGTTCGGCGACGACGTTCGGCGACGACGGCAAGACGGCGCGGGCCGCAGTGCAGGTTCATGTCGGCGATCGAGCGCATCACCGAGCAGACCAGGGAGGTGGAGCGGGGCGGGCGGACGGTGACCGTGAAGGCCGCGGGCTGGGCCTCTTTCTCGACGGCGTGTCTTGCCATCCGACACGTTGGGGCTGTTGGGCCCCGAGTCTCTGAGTGGTTCTTGGGCGTCGCGCCCAGCGCAGGAGACTTTTCTTTTAGGGTCGGGAGATAGTCCGGGTCATCGGGCTTACCCCCCCCCTCCCCCTCCCCAGGATAACCCAACCCTGCCGGTTGTGAAGGTCCGCGGGAGGGGGGGCGTGGGTACATGCAGGGCTGCCCACAGGGGGGCGTGGGCATATGCACGGCTGCCTACGCGCCTCCCCCCCCTCCCGGGATATCCCGGGCTACCGCCGATACAAAAAAGGTCTCTAGAGTGGAAACCCATGCCAAGAAACACCCTGCTTACTCCAGATCTCGTAATAAAAGGGAGGGGGTCTGGACCCTCCAAGACAAGCCATTTCAGACCCCCCCCCGTGGGAGAACCCGCCCAAACATCGTCCCCAGACCCCCCCCAGGCCCTCCAAGATAGCCTGGAAGAGACCCCCCCCGAAATGAGACCCCCCTCCCTTTATTACGAAATCTGGAGTACCTCCAGGGTGCCCTGGGTCTCTCGGGTCTCGCTGGCTCTGCGAGGGAGAGCGTGACGCTCCCACGCCAGAACTCGATGCACGCCCTGGGGTCTCAGGGTTGGGGTTTCTCGTGGAGGGTCTCTTGTGGTCGAACTCCTACTGTACCGCGGCCCCCAGGCCCGGAGACTCCGGGTGGTCCCTGGGTTTCTCGGCTCGCTCGCCCTGCATAAAACAGGGCGAGGATCGGGATAAATCGCTCCAGAGCGTTCCGGAGCGCTCTCAGAGCGTCCCGGAACGCTCTGGAGCGGCCGCGGCGCCTAGTACATCCTCCAGACCCGCCGATTCTCAGAGATCTCGAGTTCGCCCGATGCGATTTTGTCCCGATCTTCGCGTCGTTTTACCCGTGGGTTTCTCGGCTCGCTCGCCCTGCATGCCGCGGCCGCTGGGCCCCGAGACGCTGGGTGGTCCCCGGGTGCCCCTCACCCCGCCGCCCGCCCTGCCCCTTCCTCCCTCCTCCTCCTCCTCCTCCTCCTCCTCCTCCTCCTCCTCCTTCTCCTTCTCCTCCTCCTCCTCCTCCTCCTGCATGCCGCGGCGGCCGGGCCTCCGAGCCATCCCCGAGAGCCTCCCGCGGCGCTGTGTCCGTGCGGGCCTCGCCTGCTGCCGCCGGCCCCCTCCTCTTGACCGGCACGGAGTTTGCCAGGGCTTAACGGGCGAAGAACGGTATAAGATAAACTTTTTCGCTGTCGGGGGCGCCTGTCCCAAGTGTATACCCTGTATACCCCTGCGGTGGCACCGTAGGGGTATAAGCTTTCCAGCCGCCCAGGGACAGGCGCCCCCGACAGCGAAAAAGTTTATTTTATACCGTTCTTCGCTCGCTGAGACTGGAAGCAAGCTCGGGGCATCGTGCGAGGACGGCTGGTAGTGGCGACGCCCTTTGTCGAGGGCCTGGCGTCGCTCGGACGTGAGCCTTTTTTTTTCGGCGAGGGCCATCGAGGAGCATCCTGGGCCATGTTGCGAAAACAGCCACGCAAGAAACCGAGAAATTTGCACGGGAGAATGGACGTCCGAGCGATGGCAGGAGGGAGCGCGGCCCCTCTGGGCGCGAGTGCGGCGCCAGCTGCGAGGGGTCGACGCCTCGGGGGCCTGCGGCCCTGGCGCGACCCTGCGAAGGATGCCGGCCTCGGGAGCGCGAGCCTGGCCGGAGGTGCGGGGGACTCTGGCCTCGGGAGCGCGACCTGGCTTCAGAGCCCCGAATCATCAGGGGTAACTCGGGTCAGGGCTAACTCGGGTTCGTTTTTCGGGAACCCGAACCCGAGTTATCCCGGACCCGAGTTGCCCCGGATATTTCGGGCGCCCAGAGCCCCGAATCATCAGGGGCAAGTCGGGTCGGGGCTAACTCGGGTTCCTTTCTCGGGACCCCGAACCCGAGTTACCCCGGGCCCGAGTTGCCCCGGATATTTCGGGCGCCCAGAGCCCCGAATCATCAGGGGTAAGTCGGGTCGGGGCTAACTCGGGTTCCTTTCTCGGGAACCCGAACCCGAGTTACCCCGGACCCGAGTTACCCCGGATATCAGGGGTAAGTCGGGTCGGGGCTAACTCGGGTTCCTTTCTCGGGAACCCGAACCCGAGTTACCCCGGACCCGAGTTACCCCGGATATCAGGGGTAAGTCGGGTCGGGGCTAACTCGGGTTCCTTTCTCGGGAACCCGAACCCGAGTGACCCCGGGCCCGAGTCGCCCCGGATATCTCGGGCGCCCCATGGCTGTGGTTCACAGGGGACGCCGGCCGCGGGCGCCGCGCTTCTGGCGCAGCGCGGCGGTGCTTTTCTGGCCTCGGGACAAACGACGCGAGGTAAAACGACGCGAAGCTCGGGACAAAATCGGATCGGGATAACTCGAAATCTCTGAGAATCGGCGGGTTTGGAGGATAAATTGGCCTCGGCAGCGCACGCGCCGCGGTGCGGTTGGGGGAAGGGGGTTCTGGCCTCGGGGGCTGGCAGCTGGCGCCGCGGACAAGGGATTGCCAAACGACGCGCAGATCGGGACAAAATCCGATCGGGATAACTCGAACCGCCCAAAACCGCCCAAAACCGCCACGTCTAGACAAGAGAGAAATTTCTGGCGAGGTAAAACGACGCGAAGACCGGGACAAAATCGGATGGGGATAACTCGAAATCTCTGAGAATCGGCGGGTTTGGAGGATGTATTGGGCGCCGCGGCCGCTCCAGAGCGTTCCGGAACGCTCTGAGAGCGCTCCGGAACGCTCTGGATCGATTTATCCCGATCCTAGCCCTGTTTTAGATTGCTGCTGCCTCGGGAGCGCGAGCATGACGTATTTCACGTGTCCCAGGCCCACCAGAACTTCAAGAAACGCGCTTCGGGGACGGTGGGCGGTTCTTTCCCGGTGCCCCCCCGTCGCGAGGGCAGTAACATGTCGCAGTTGGAGGCAGAAGGTAGAACCATCACACTCGAGACTGGACACTGGAACTGGAGCAGGCTGCAGCAAAGTCACCACCACGCAGCCTGATGGCCCCACGAAGAGTCGGGGAGCTCGATGCTGCTGACAGCGAGGCCAGGAAAGCGGCCAAGCGGAAGGAACATGCGAACCCTCTTGTGATCGGTGGTGCTGACACTGACAGGTCTTGCTTGTGTGTGAGTCGCGGGTGGCCCAGAGGGACCATTTTGACACAATTCGGGAATGCGCATACGTCGTGAGACACTTTTGTGGTAACCTTGCATAATAAATCATGGTATAGAACAGGCGTGCGTAAGCGAGACATCACCGCAAGGGAAGTGTTACGGAGTCACGCCGTCCATCCGGCATGGCGTCAAGTCGTCCACAAACACTTGGAATCAATTCAGGGCATACACTCAGAACGTAAACCAAGAACAACCACCAAGGCCATACATTCAGACATTCACAAAGGGTAGACATGCACCAGCAGCAGACACCAATGATCATAAATCTTCAAACGCATACACCAATAACATGCATCATCCTCATACGCCGCAAACGCGCATCATTGACATACGCCGCGAGTCTACAACAGTACGATACATCAGCCACACGCATCTAGCATACTCATTAACACCATCCACCAGCAGCCGTTACCACGTCTCTACACCATTTAGATGCGTCATCACCACTTGCTTAGACATGACAAGTACCGTGCACCAAGAACATTGAAACGTAACAAACATCACCAACGTTCATCGTTCGCGCGCACCCATCGCAGACAGTAGTACCATACGCACAGAACAGGCCTCAGCGCCGTGTGCACACCCAGACGCCAGCATTATGCAACTGGCGATTGGATCGAAGATCAGGGGGCGGGCGAGAGCGTGGTCTTCGTTGCAGTTGCGTGCCTGCCTGTCGGACCTACAGTCGAGGCGCTGAAGAAGGAACCCTTTTCGTCGGGAAGTTTACCTTGTCGAAAAAAGGGGCCTCGTTCCTCATTTAGGGTTCCTTAGGTCCACGCCCCGACTCTACGCCATGGGCGAGCGGGGGTGCGGAGGCGCAGCGAGCGTGAGCTTGGCGCCTCCCGCGCGCCCGACGACTGCGCTCCGATGGCGTGCGCCCTGGCTGGCCGCCCACCAAACCACCCCAGCCCCACCCGAAGGCCTCAACTTGCCCTCGATTTCGGGTGGGGGGGGTCGGAGAACAACGAAACAACACATAGTCAGAGGCCAGCAACATATGTACACGTACGCGATTAGCTTCCTCTGGAGTGCGTGTCAACGCGGACGTTCGTGCAGGCAAGACCGCGGAGGGCGTACATGTACATATGTCGCTGCTCGCCCACATAGGGAACCCGTACCCCCCCCCAACCCGAAATTGGGGTCTTCGGGTTGGGTTGGGGTGGTCTGGTAGGTGGTCGCTGGCTGGCCGGAAGGCTGCCGAGGGACCGGCTGTTTTGTCTTATCGCTGGCCGAACCCAGGCATTCCGGCGTGGACTCGTCTGCTACCAGCGCGTCGCGCTGCCCTCCGATTTTGCCCGACGGTCCCGTCCCGCGGCGGGTCGGGCAGGGCGGCGCTTGTCGAACTCCGACGCGTCTAGACAGCCGCACAGACATTTGATTCAAAGGCGCCCGGACATTCAACTGAACGCGGTCTAGAAGGGGGTGCTTGTGCGCAGGTTACAAGCAAAACGCCAAACGCGGGATTTCACGCAAGAAACTTAGGCGATTGGTTCCCTTCGCTATAGGTTTGTGCGTTTGTGCGCAAGTTACAAGCGAAACGCCAAAAGCGGGATTTCATGCAAGAGACTTAGGCGATTGGTTCCCTTCTCTATAGAAGGGTGTCCTCGTAAAACAGGGCTAGGATCGGGATAAATCGCTCCAGAGCGTTCTGGAGCGCTCTCAGAGCGTTCCGGAACGCTCTGGAGCGGCCGCGGCGCCCAATACATCCTCCAAACCCGCCGATTCTCAGAGATTTCGAGTTTTCCCGATCCGATTTTTTCCCGATCTTCGCGTCGTTTTACCTCGCCAGAAATTTCTCTTGTCTAGACGTGGCGGTTTTGGGCGGGGTCCGCTCCGGCGTCCGGCGGGCCGTCCTGGGTCGCGTCGGGGGGCCGCGCGATTGCTGTGGCGTCCGGGGGCGTATGCGCGCTTCTCCGAGGCTGCGTGGGAGGCGGCCATGCGACTTGCTCGGGGGAGCGTAAGACCCGGGTTTGCCAGGACTCGGGTTCGCCATCGTTTTTTGACGTCCGCGACTCGGATTTTGACGAGTAGGAGTTTCGTGGGACGTCTGCAGCGGGAGGCCTCGTCAAAATGCAGGCTCGGCCTCGTCATTTTTTTGACGACCTCGTCGGGGATTTCCGAGTCCCCTGATTTGCGCGCGTTGAAACAATAGGGAATGCGTCGGATCCGAGCACGGCTGGAGCATGTTCCAGAGGTGCCTTAGGGTCGCGGCGCAGTGTCGCAGGACCCCTTTTCATGTCCACGACAGCGGCGCGGATTGCCTCATCATCAATCTGCGCCTGTTGCCGCTCGTCCTGGTGATGGGATGGGCCTGCGATGAATCGCGTTCGTGCCGTGCGTCTCGTGTAGGCGTGCCTCTTGCCCGAACAGAAATGGCAATGTTATTCTCCGGAGGGGTAGGGGTGGGGGGCGTAAGAACTTTGTTCAGGCGTGAGGGCTTCCATAGCAGCCCAGTTGCCCAGTGGCGAGGCCATCAGCAAGGGCCACTGGGGTGTGATTTGCTAGAACTTCGATGAGTGAAAACCATCTTAATCATCATCACCATAACCGCCAAGCGAACCAACGCACCACCCGCATCATCACCACAATTGACGGAGAAACAGCAAACACGTAACCACCAACATCACCATCAACACCTACAACACCGTCATCACCATCAGCATCGTCACCATCATCACCGACACCGCCAGCATCGGCGCCTCACTGCTCATCATCACCGCCATCGCAAGCATCAGCATCATCGTCTTCACCGCCTTCAACACCAACACCATCACGAGGATGACTCTGGCGAACGCAAAGCACGACGAACCTGCATGCGTGCAAGTTCGCAGTGCAAATTCAACGTGCAACGAGTAATGTTCAACATGCAACAGTTGGTCGTCATCTACCGTAGGAGGGTTCGCCCAGCGGTGTCCTACCCAGATACATTCGACCTCGCCGTTTCGCTGGGGGAGTGCTGCGACCTGCGAGACGGTCGCTGCTTTCGGAAGTTGCTGGGAGGGCCCGCCCAGCGGTGTCCTACACAGGTCGAAATGAGACCTCGCCCTCCCTGGGGGCTGCGATTGCGAGCCTGTCGCCACTTTCGTGAATTGCTGGGTGTGCCCTCCCAATGGTGTCCTACACGGATACAATTAGACCTCGCGCTCTGTGGGAGGTTGCGAACTGCGAGTCCGTCTCGACTTCCGTGAGATGTTCGGAGGGCCCGCCCATTGGTGTCTTGATATGCATACCCAGATCCGAATTCGACGTCGCCATCCTTGGGTGGCTGCGTCCTGCGAGAGTGTCGCCACTTCCGTGGACTGCTGGGTGGTCCAGCGCTGTGCGGTGCTACCTCGGACATAAGGGGGATGTGGAGGAAGAAGAGGAGGAGGAGGAGGAGGAGGAGGAGGGAGGAGATGGAAGAGGAGGAGGATGAGGAGGAGGAGGAGGAGGAGGAGGAACGATGAGTACGATGAGGCACCGCGAGGAGAAGGAGGAGGAGGAGGAGGAGGAGGAGACGCAGGAGGAGGAAGCGGAGGAGGAGGAAGAGGAGGAGGACGAGGAGGAGGAGGAGGAGGAGGAGGGGGAGGGACGAGGGAGGAGCGACGATGGATGAGGGAGGAGGAGGAGGAGGAGGAGGAGGAGGAGGAGGAGGAGGAGGAGGAGGAGGAGGAGGAGGAGGGACCTGTGCCCCCCCGAGGTGTGGAACGACACCGTGGCGAACCTCACGCTTCTGGCCCTCGGCTCCTCGGCGCCCGAGATCATGCTCTCCGTCATGGAGGTCTTCCTGAACGAGTTCTCCGCGGGTGCCCGCCCGCGGGGGGGGGGGGCATCGACGGGTCCCAGGCGCGCCTCCTCGGCCTCGGCCCCTGGGGCCTCGGGCCCAGGGGCAAGCAAGCACTCAGAGGAGGCCGAGGTACCCAAACCTCTGCCCTCCCATCGCGTCCCCCCTCCTGGGCCTCCTGGGCCTCCGTCGTCGCCCGCGCTGAATGCGCCTCGGAGTCCTGGTCGGAACGCGCCCGAGGAGAGGTCCGGGGAGCAGCGGTATCTGTACCCTGGAGTGTCCCGAAGCACGACTCCAGGACGAACACATGCTCCCTTGGAAGGGGCTGGCACCTCTGGGACCGCGCGTTCGTCGGCGGTCTGGTTTTGGAGACGCCCGCATAGGAGAGCAGAGGCTGCAGGAAGACAGCATCGCGGCGGTCCGCGCGAGTTTCTTGGGTGATGTGCTGGACCCCCCATTGGCGGCGCCTCGGGCGCCGCCCCTGGCGCACTGCGCGCGCCACGGAAGGGGGTCAAGGTTCGATCCAGGACCTCTGCGCGGACCTCTGCAAGTTTATGCTCATGTTGTTGTTCTTCTCTCCATCGTTGCCCTGCTCTGGCCTCCAGAGGACTCCGAAGGCCTCCAGGGACTTCGGGAGCCCCCAGGGGCCCTCCGCAGACCCTTCCCCGAGGCCTTTCCCGTGACCTCCAGGCACCTCCAGGGGCGGTCGTGCAGGGAGGCCTCCCGCGTGCCTCCCGTGCTTACAGAGCCAGGTTTTCAGCCCTCCCACAGGCCACGAAGCAGACGTGGCGGCCGTAGGCATCAGCAGCAAAACAGTGCGTAGCGAGTCGTATGTCCATATGATTATTCAAGAAGCTTGCGCCATTCTGCCGACCCCTAGAAGAGGCGTGGTGTCCACGGTTGGGACGTCGTGGGCTTTTCGCTTACTATTTGGGGAATCTTGTGGGCGTCTTGGGAGCTGTTTCGGGGCGGGCCTGGCGGAACCTCTTCGAGGTAGTTCTGAAGCGTGCTGGGGGCCGCTTTGGGGCCTTTTGGGGTCCTCTAGTGGGCCTTTTGAGGCCTCTCGAGGGCCTCGTTTGGGCCGCTTGGGGGACTTCTTGGGGCCTTTGGGGGCCCGTTGCCTTTTGGGCGGAAGAACGGATTTTCGGTTCGTGTTGCCCTTCTTCGCCTCTCTTGGGGCCCTCTTGGGGCCATCTTCGGCCGTCTGAGGCCCTTCTTTGGGCCGTCTTGGATCCCTCTTTGGCCGTACTGGGACCCTCGCAGGGGCCTCTTGGGCGGCTTTTGGGGCGGTCTACGGCGCCTCTTGGGCCGCCTTGGGCCTTGGAGCGTGGGAGGCTCGAGAAGACGATAACCCCGGGGTCAACGAACAACCGACGGGAAACCATTGTTTTTTTGTCTCTCGGGGCCTGTTTGGGAAGGCTCTTTGGGGCGTCTCGAAGGCGTCTTGGGGCTTCTTGGAGCCCCTCGTAGGCGTCTTTGGCCAATCGTTCTGCAATTCGGGGCCGTCTGGAAACGCCTTCGAAGCCACGGAAGGCAGATTGAGAAGCTCTGGAGTCTCCAGGGTTGCGCCGTGGAGCCCGGCTACCCCCTCCTGCCATCCTCTCTCCCCCTCCCCCCGCCACCTCTACAATCACACACTGGTGGCGTCCGGGAAATATCTGGCCTCCCTCCGCGTACAGGTTTTCGCTTAGTTTTTTTTTTTTTTTTTTTTTTTTTTTTTGTTTTTTTCAAATTTATGCTCTCGCTGAAGCGCTGGCTTCATTTTCGGCCTACCGCTCGTTCCGAATCGGGCTCCCGCTGCAGTGCTGGCCTCATTTCCGCGCTTCCTCTCGTTCCGAACCGTGCTCCCGCTGCAGCGCCGGCGTTACTATTTCCAGTGCCATGCCACGGCATGGGTTTCGGTCCTTCCAAGTAGGCCCCAGAATCTAGAACATGCCTCCCCCGAAGAAACAATCGGAAGTGAATCCACATTCGGTGTCGATTCGTTGATTTTTTTGGCCGCAGAAGCCCCTCCTCACTTTGGGGCGTCGCCACGCCATGCTATGTCAGGCTACGCGTCCTAATTTCCGCGCTTCCGCGCCTGGGTTTGTTTGTCAGAATGCGGCTCTCGCTGAAGCGCTGGCTTCATTTTCGGCCTACCGCTCTCCCGCTGCAGCGCTGGCCTCATTTCCGCGCTTCCCCTCGTTCCGAACCGTGCTCCCGCTGCAGCGCTGGCGTTACTATTTCCAGTGCCATGCCACGGCATGGGTTTCGGTCCTTCAAATAGGCCCCAAAATCCAGAACATGCCCCCCCCGAAGAAACAATCGGCAGTGAATCCACATTCGGTGTCGATTCGTTGATTTTTTTGGCCGCAGAAGCCCCTCCTCACTTTGGGGCGTCGCCGCCACGCCATGCTATTTCAGGCTACGCGTCCTAATTTCCGCGCTTCCGCGCCTGGGTTTGTTTGTCAGAATGCGGCTCTCGCTGAAGCGCTGGCCTCTATTTCGGGCTACCGCTAGTTCCGAATCGGGCTCCCGCTGCAGCGCTGGCCTCATTTCCGCGCTTTCCCTCTTTCCGAACAGTGCTCCCGCTGCAGCGCTGGCGTTACTATTTCCAGTGCCATGCCACGGCATGGGTTTCGGTCCTTCCAAGTAGGCCCCAAAATCAAAAAATGCCTCCCGAAGAAACAATCGGCAGTGATTCCACATTCGGTGACGATTCTCTGAATTTTGTGGCCGCAGAAGCCCCCGCCACTTGGGGGCGTCGCCACGCGTTGATCTTCAACACCATACTACGACATCCGATTGTGCGAAGAGAGAGAGAAGATATTTCAATGCCATGGTAAGGGATGGGAGGGAGGGGTAGGACGTCAAGTATGACGCGAGCGCGCCTAGCTTGCCTCCCCCCTTCCCCCTCGCCTCTTAAACTGGATTTTGGATCGTGGGGGAGGGGGAAGGAAAGGGGGGACAGCCAATCATCTCGCACGCCTTCTCACCCCCGGAAAGCGGGTGTCGGCGGATTTACGTAGACATGTGTGATGCATGTTTGTATGTTCGTGTGCCTGTATGTATGTTTGTCAGTACGCATGGACGGATGCATGAAGATGTGCATGCATGTAAGCATACATATAAGCATGCATACATACATATACACATACATACACATACACATACACATACATGCACAATCCATACACACATCAATGCACATACACGAATACACATCCATGCATGTATGCATGCATGCATACATACATACACAATTACATACAGACACGCATATACATACCTGCATACATACATGCATGCATCTATATAACCTTACACAAAACCATACATATACATACATATTTACACACATATATACATGTATGTACATACACATATACATACACCTACACACATATAACTTCACATCCATACACATGTACATGTACATGCACATGCACACACACATCTATATACATATACATAGACATGTACCGTTACATTTACATTTAATGCACACATACATTCACATGCACACACACATATACCTATGCTGATACATGTGCATATTCACGTACATGTATAGATGCATATACACAGGCATGTGCATATACATGTACACACATGTACATATACATACATATACATATACATACACATATACGCATACACATACATATACATACATGCGTCTATACATTTGCATCGGCACATCCACATCAACATACACACACATACCTATACATATACATATACATGTCTATGTATGTGTATATGTATATACACATGTAAACACACGTACACATACTTATACATGTACATTTACATTTACATTTACATTTACATTTACATTTACATCTACATACACATATATATACATGTACATGTACCTATGACTATATGTTTGCATATACATGTACATACACATATACGTACACATATGCATATACATGTACAACGGCATCTACATCCACATCCACATACACACATACGTATACATTTACACGTACGTATATACATGCGCACACACACATATATATATATATATATGTATGTAGATAATATATTCACCTAATATATATATATATATACACATATTATGTGTATATATATATATATATATATCCCGTGCACGAGGCCTGGGCGCCCGGGGCCAGGGGCTCGGGGGGCATGAGAGGACCGGGGATTCCCGGACCGTTTCCAGAGCACCCCAGAGCGGCCCTGGAGCTCCCAGACTGCTCCAGAGAGCTCCCAGAAGCCCTCGGGGACTTCGACAAGCCCCTTCAAGACAGCCCCGATAGCCCCAACGTGGCCCAATATGGGTTCGAGACTGCAAATACACAGCCCAAGGGACCCCCAAGAGGCCTCAAGAGAGCTCCCAGAAGCATCCCGAGAGAGCCCGAAGAGGGCCTTATCATTGATTTTCATTTTTTTCAATGTTTTTTGGTTTCTCGAGTTTTCCACCTTCCGACGCTCCAGGACGGCCGACGACTCCCCCAAGACCGCCCCAAGACCGCCGACGAGGCCCCCCAAAAAGCCCCAAGACGGCCCCAGGGAGTTTGAAAATTGCCCAGGAGGAGCCCCACATGGCCCAAGCGAGCCCCAGGACAGGCCCAAGCTGGGCTACAGACCGCGAGCGGGAGGCGCCAAGGCGCTAGCCCAAGAGGCCTCCAGAAGGCTTCAAGAGAGCGTCGTTGTGGCCACAGCGGGGCTTACAGCGGCACCCGTGGCTCATCTGTGACTAGAACCTATGCGCGCGTAGCGCGTGCGTGGTTCTAGTAAATAGGTATATGTATGTGCGAAGCACCTGTAGGCCCCTGCAAACCTTGCATCACCGAGCGCGGTCCACTACTCGCAAAGTGCCGACATGCAAACATCAGGCAAACATATGAGTGCTTCGATGTAGAATATCGTGCCCCCCCGCGGCGAATCCAGGCCAGTTGCGAGTAGCTGCCCTGCGATTAGTGGCACGCGCTTGTCTATTTCAAACACTGGCCGACGGTCGTGATACTGGCGGTGCTGCAGATGCCGATGTTGATGTCGATGCGTGATGCCGAGGGTAGAGCGTCCTCGCCGCCGACCGCCGCAGCCGTCGTCTCTCTCTCTCTCTCTCTCTCTCTTTCCCCGCTGGCCTTCTTCCGCTACACCTCCTTTTGGTTCTGTTCTGTCCCTAGATATCCTTCTGCCGCCTTCCCTCGCTCTTTCTCCCTGCCTCTCCTCAGGCTACTCCTTTTCCGCTTTCGCCTCCGTCTTCTCCTGCGCACCCTTCCCCCTCCACCTTCTTCTCACCCCTCCCTCCATCTTCTCCCTCGTCCTTCTTCCGCCCTCGCACCTCCCCGTCCCCTCCCTCCCTCCGCCCTCCCTGGCTGGCTTGTTCTCCTAGTCCTCCGTACTGCATTCCCTGAGCTGGGCACTCTTCGCTCTCTGCGCCTCGCGCATTCCGCCGCCCTCTTGTGTCGCTGTCGTGGGCTGCCTGGGAGCTCAAGGCCTGGCCTCCCTTCGTTGGGGAGGGCGGTGGGCAACAACCGAGCACGAGCTCCCCCCCCCGCCCCCCCACGCACTGGGCGTGCAATCACCCGCGAGAGCTCGGCGACCGCGCCAACGCCATGTCTGCACGGCCGCCGACCGACGGGCCTCCCCCCCTCTCTCTCCCTCCCGCACTTCTCCCTGCTCCGGCTCTCCTCTCCGCCCTCCCTCCCCGCGCCCCCCTTCTCCTCTCCTCCCTCTCCCCTCCTCTCCTCCCTCCTTCCCCCGCCACCCCACCTCAACCCTCCGCCGCCTGCTCCCTGCTCACCCGCCCGCCGCCTGCTCCACCTCCCACTGCGGCCGCTCCCGCCCCCTCCTCCCGCAGCGCCCTTCTTCGCTCCTCACGGCCGAGACGCTGCAGCAAGCGCTGTTCTGGGGCCCGGCAGGGCCTCTGCCTCTCTGGCCGCTCCTCGGATCTGGGTCGTTTTTTTTTTTTTTTTTCCTCGCGGAGGCGGGCCGTGGCCAGACGTGCTCCCTCGCCCCTGGTGCAGCGCTCCCTGCGGCAGCAGGGTGGCGGTGCCCCTCTTCCCTCCCCCCTCCTTCTCCCCTCCCCCCCTGGAGCTGCACCCATGTCTTGTGAGCTCGGAGAGCTCGACACGAGCTTCAGTACGATCGTGCCCAGTGCTTCTGGTATCTTTCCCCCCGTCCCGCCGTGTGATCACATCCCTTGCCCGCTGTGCGCTATGCGGCCAGGACGTATTCCCAGCACCACAGTGCGCATCCTTAGCACACAAGAGCATCCTTAGCAGACATGGTGCACACAAAGAGCAGCACCAAGTCGAAGGCCCCCCCGGAGGTCTCCCAAGGTCCCTTGAGGTTTCTGGAGGTCGCCTCAGGCCTCTAAATGGTCGACGAGCAAAAAGGGTGTCAACCGTCAAGACGTGTAGAAAGCCTCCTTCCTCTCCCCCCCCATCCCCAGACCTCCGATGTTTTCGTTGTGCCAGAAGAAGCCTTGGACTTCTCCACCCTCCCCGATAAGCTGTTTGCCGTGTCGGGTCGATTCCGATGGGACATGCAAGTTGGGTTCGAACAGTTCCTTTACGACGTCGGAGGCTTGGCGTCCGGTAGCGGGGGGGGAGCACGAGGGCGGGATCGAGGACTGTAGGGAGACTTGCCCCGAAGGGGCCCCAAACGGCCCCTGCACTCACTCAGGGGCCCAGAACGTGCCGGGAAGCTGCACAGCTCTTCACCACCTGTTGATATTCCCCTCCCCCCGTCAGCGAAGGCCCGAGGAGGTCTGGGACCCCTCCTCGAAGATCGGCCCCCGGGTCCTCCTCCTCCTCCTCCTCCTCCTCTTCCTGCTCCTCCTCCTCCTCCTCCTCCTCCTCCTCCTCCTCCTCCTCCTCTTCCTCCTCCTCCTCCTCCTCCTCCCCTGGTCGCTGGCACGGTCAACGATGTCCATGATTCGGGATCGTCGGACTGACGCGCGTCGAGAGGCGGCTGGCCAAGGCCCCCTCCCCGTTTGGGAGGTGAGAGCTGTGGTCTCCTGCTTCTCCCTGACGCTCAGTCCTTTGGGGCCGCTGTGCGGCCCATTTGAAACTGGTTCGGTCAAGCGTGACCCCCCCCAACAAAAATCCTCCTCCTCCTCCTCCTCCTCCTCCTCTCCTGGGGCGGGGCCCAGCCAGAATCTCGAGACGGATATCTGGTTGTGTTGACGAGGGCGCCCCAAAAGCTCAGAGGGCGCCAAGAACTTCCAGAGGCCCCGATCCTCGATCATGGATCCTCCAACCTCCATCGTGTAGGGCGACGAGTAGGAAATGCCTGGGCGTCACGCAGCAGAGCCCCAGGCGATGATGGAAACATTGGGTTCCAGACCTGCTCGGTGGCGCCGTCGTCATTGAGATTCTGTCCTCGTTCTTTCCATAGTCCTTCCCAGCGGTGTAATCACATATATATATATATATATATACACCAAAAAAAACTTGTGTGTACACAAATACTACTACGTTTCGTCTCATTCTTTTCTGTCATCGCCATTGCTACATTTATCCGTAAGGGCTTCGCCCCCTGCCGCCGGCCCCCTCTCTCGGAGAATGGGCCATGGAAGAGCTAAGTCATGAGGCTTTGGCGCTGTCGTGCAGCAGTATCGGAACTTCATGCGAGGCCGATTCGCAATCGGCAAAACCAACTGATCACAAGAGGGGTTACCACACAGGGCGATTGGTAAGACGTGTATGGTTTACGAGCTTGGTTACCACACCTTGGGATTAAAGGGCCGAGGGAGTACTCGCAGTTTGGGTTACCACGCCTTGCGATGGATGTGCGTGAGGGGTGGCACCGAATTTCAGAAATGTGGCAAATCCCCTGTGTTTTTGGACCCTGACCCCGCGGATCTGCGTGAGGGGTGGCACCGAATTTCAGAAATGTGGCAAATCCCCTGTGTTTTTGGACCCTGACCCCGCGGATCTGCGTGAGGGGTGGCACCGAATTTCAGAAATGTGGCAAATCCCATGTGTTTTTGGACCCTGACCCCGCGGATCTGCGTGAGGGGTGGCACCGAATTTCAGAAATGTGGCAAATCCCCTGTGTTTTTGGACCCTGACCCCGCGGATCTGCGTGAGGGGTGGCACCGAATTTCAGAAATGTGGCAAATCCCATGTGTTTTTGGACCCTGACCCCGCGGATCTGCGTGAGGGGTGGCACCGAATTTCAGAAATGTGGCAAATCCCATGTGTTTTTGGACCCTGACCCCGCGGATCTGCGTGAGGGGTGGCACCGAATTTCAGAAATGTGGCAAATCCCTGTGTTTTTGGACCCTGACCCCGCGGATCTGCGTGAGGGGTGGCACCGAATTTCAGAAATGTGGCAAATCCCATGTGTTTTTGGACCCTGACCCCGCGGATCTGCGTGAGGGGTGGCACCGAATTTCAGAAATGTGGCAAATCCCTGTGTTTTTGGACCCTGACCCCGCGGATCTGCGTGAGGGGTGGCACCGAATTTCAGAAATGTGGCAAATCCCATGTGTTTTTGGACCCTGACCCCGCGGATCTGCGTGAGGGGTGTCGATTTCGAGCCCCCCCAGCAATTCAGACAACGCGCCCAGGGGGTGCTAAAAGTCCCGTTTGGGCCTCCCCCCCCCTCGCGCGGTCAATCAACTAGTTACAGTAACCAGCAAGAAGCAGAACTGTAACACTGGAAACTACAAGCTACAACTGGTACAGGAAACTGCGAACCCGCGCCTACAGCCTGGTGGCCCCACAAGGGGGCCGGCGGATTGTGTGCATGTCTGTTATATGTGTACACATATATTTGTGTATATGTTATTATGTATGAATACATCGTCCTCCCTTTCGGTTCCCTCCTGGGGCCGGTTTGGGGCCCTCTTGGGCCGTCCTGGGCGCCTCTTGGGCCGTCTTCGGGCCCTCTTGGGCCGTCGTGGGGCCTTTGTGCTTTAGGCGTCTGGAAGCGGTCTTTGGGGCCGATTGGGACGTCATTGGGCGTCGTGAATTCGAGAAGTGGAGACACCCAGAAACATTGAACCACCTAAGGGCCATCAAGGAGTTTGACCTCTCGGGACCCTCTTGGAAAGGCTCTTGGAGGCCTCTTGGAACGTCTTGCGAACTTTTGTTGCCGACTGAGGCCATTCTGGGCGTCTCAGACCGATTGTCTCGGCGATTCGGGGCCTTATTGGGCCGTCTTGGGCGCTGGGCGCCTCTTGGGGCTTTTTGGGGCCGAACACATCACGCGAGAAGTCGCGACGGGCCCCAGAGGCCACGCGACAAGCCCCTAACGATGTGGCAATTTCGGCATACATGATCTAGGGTTGCCCCCACTCCGTTCCTCCTGCCTTCCTCCTCGTCCCTCCTCCTCCTCCGCCCTCCTCTTCCCTCCTCCTCCTCCTCCGCCCTCCTCCTCCCTCCTCCTCCTCCTCCTCCTCCTCCTCCTCCACCTCATCTTCTTCCACCTCCTCTTCTTCCTCCTCCTCCTCCTCCTCCTCCTCCTCCTCCTCCTCCCCCTCCCTTCCAATGCATATGGGATCGAGCCCGCTCCCTCCCCGCTGGATGGGTACGCCCGTGAGCCTCGCGAAGGCTTCGCGAATGGGATCGTTCCCTCCGCCCCCCTGTGGTCTTCGTCCCCGTGGGAGTGGCGTTGTTGAGGATGCTGGTGCATCCCCCCTCCCTCCCCCCTGTGGGTGTGGGGTGGCTCGTCATCGTCGTCGTCGTCGACGTCGTCGTCGTCGTCGTCGTCGTTGTCGCCGTCGTCGTGGTCGTCGTCGTCGTGGTCGTCGTCGTCGGCGTCGTCGTCGTTGTCGTCGTCGTCGTCGTCGTCGTGGTCGTCGTCGTCGTCGTCGTCGTCGTCGTCCCGCTCCCCCATCCCATTTGCGGGGGGGGCCTGTGGAACCCTGGGACCCATCCTTTTGGGGGAGGGCCTGTGAACCAGCTGCCCAGGATCACGCGCACACACGTCCGTATCGTTCACCACCGTGCTTCTTCTCTTGGCCGCCGTCCTGCATCACCAGAGCGGCGCTCCGCCCTCCGAGCCCCCTCCGAGCGCGGAGGTGTGCTGGGCCCGTCCACCATCCTCGGCTCCGCCGCCTTCAACCTGTTCGTGATCATTGCCGTCTGCGTGGTGGTGGTCCCGAGCGCCGAGGCCGCGTGCGGGGCGGCCGCAGGGGGCGGGAGGGGGGTCGAGGCTCGAGTCGGAGGTCCGATGGTCGCTGGTTCAGTGATCGAGGGTGCAGTGCCAGGCGATCGCAGACATGGATCAAGGGGGCGTGGATTAGCGACGGGTCCCGTTTCCAGGGGAGCTCGCGGATTCCCGTCGCCGGGCGAGGCGGCACCGGCCGCCTTCTGGGGCCCCCCGAGCCCTGTCTGCGCGCCCCCCCGACGGACGGAGCCGGAGGATCGCGCCGCACCGCCGACGCGTCGGCGATGCGACCGAAGGCCACATGCGAACCCCACCCCACCACCCCACGATTTCTCTAAGGGGTGGGGTAGGGTTCGCAGGTGACCTCCTATCGGGGGTGGACAGAACCCCCAACAGGGACACGTCGATTAGTGAATTGCCCGTTTTCGGTTTTCGAGAGGGGGCCGTGGCCCTTATTTTCCAGGCTTGCGCCCGCCAGGTTTGGGCCTCAGGTCGTTTTTTGACTAAACCACGTTTTGCTAAAGGGGGGTCTATCCATCCCCGATCTAAGGGGTGGGGTAGGGTTCGCAGGTGGCCTCCTAGCGACTCGGGCCGCGTTGCATAAGCAGTGTCTCTTGGAAATGAGAACGGCAACCAACAACGGCGGCCGGGAACGAAAGAAACAGCCCCGGGATTGGATCCGGAGCAGGAACAGGTAAACCAAGGGCGACGGAACCGGGCAAAAATACGGCGTCGGAACCGGCAACAAAAACGGCAAAACGGAACCGGTAACAAAAACGGCCTTGTCGTTTCCAGGGCCCTTTTAAGTCTGGACGCCCGAAGTGTGCACGGAAAGAATGGGTATACATTCAAGCAACAAATGTTGTCCAAAACAGACAGTGGCTGCTGTTGGGTAGGCGGCTTTTTGTCTTCAATGAACAACGTCCGCGGCGGCGTGGACAGCGAGTCCTGTTCAAAATGAACAGGAACTGCTGTTGGGCGTCGTACCCATTCTTTCCGTACCCATTTTGATCGTCCCGATTAGGGTGTGGAGCCCGATTTTCTCATGTGGCAAAATTCTCCGGCCCCATCTGCACGGACTCCACTCGGGAGGCCTCCAGCTCCGCAGAGCCCGTCTGCCGTGCTTGGCCTGGCCCGCTTGCGGTGACCGCCAGGTCCGTTCGAGTTCTTGCCCTCGGGCATGAGGAGGAGGAGGAGGAGGAGGAGGAGGAGGAGGTGGAGGAGGAGGAGGATGAGGAGGAGGGGGAGGAGGAGGTGGAGGAGGAGGAGGAGGAGGAGGAGGAGGAGGAGAAGGAGAAGGAGGAGGAGGAGGAGGAGCTCCCCAGATCTCCGAGGATATGTTTTCTTCAGTCCCGGTGGCTTCCCTCGGTTTCGGCCTCCAGAGCGCGTGATCGACCCGTGCAACGCTCAAGAACCTTCACGCAAGGACTGAAGAACTGATGTGGACCCCCCAGGGAAATGGTGTGGAGCTCGAGAGCGTGCACAATGGAAAAGCATACCGCCAGAGGTCTGGGCCTTGGTCCGGGTCGGGCGAGGACCGGTGGCAGGGAGAGGTGCGGGGGAGTATGCGAAGCCTGCTGCGCGCAGCCGGTTTTGTTTTGGCCCCGCCCCCGGGGGCACCTCCCCTCGACGCAGCGGCGCCTCCCGGCGCTGGGGCAGAACGCAGAACGTCCGATCGAGCGCCCTAAGACGTCTCGTTCCGCTTGCGGGAGCGGTGTGACCCATGCTTTGCAATCAGGAAAAACATGCATCGATGGAAGTCAAACGCACCCCGCACATGTATTGCTACACTACAGCGTGCATGCATGACAAATATTCTGCCCGAGAATCATCCGAAAACCTGCCGTGCGCATTGTGCAATTCAAATCCAAGCTGGTGTTGAAAGGGTCCCGGAAGAAATGGTCGATTGAATGGACCACTTTGTTCTCGGGCGGCCAACTCTGCGGGGGCCATCTGGGCGCCAGGGTATGGCTAGAGACGGCCATCCGTTCCTCTTGTTGCACGCTCTTCTTAAGATATACCATCGCGTTGCGTCAATCACCTCGAGCCAGTCAGACACCTTGTAAACTGTCATTGTTCGTTCTACTCTCCGTTTCCATTGATGCCTGGCTTCCTCCCAAGACTCGTGATCAGCTTTACGAAAACCAGCGATCCGTCATAACATTTGCGCCTGGGCATTTGCTAGTTTTCCTCTCTGTCGAGCTGTAAGCGGCGTGGTGGCAAGACTGTAGACGGCCGTTGGCGTCACGACGCTGTCGAACAGCTTCACACGCAGCTTCAAAGACACTCGCTTATTTTCAAACGTTGCCTTGAACAAATGCCATTTTGACCATGCACATCGTGTCCTGTATTCTACAGTACAGAAGCCTCGTTCTCTGAGATCTCCATGGGAACGCGCTCCCAAATACTTGTGCAAGTTTTCAACATCACTGGAATATTACACCCGTCAACTTGCAATAGCATGGGTTCCTCAAGAGCGGCAACAGAAGGATCGTTCGTGAATAGTTTGGTCTTGCTCGCGTTCAGCTCAAGACCGCTTTGAGACAACTCCTGGCAGAGAACGGCGAGCATGTTGCATACGTCTTCCGGGGAAGTTCTGTCGAGAAGAATGTCGTCTGCATAACGTATGGTGGTCAAAAGCTCGACGCCCCCAAGTTTAAGCCCCATGCCGCGGACGAGGTCCTTGAAACGCCGCAAGACTTGCTCAAGGCCCGCGTTGAAAAGAAGCGAACTCAGCACGGCCCCTTGCTTGACACCCCGACTGATGTCGAAATGCTCGCTGCCGTGGACGATGCCGAACTGGCCAGAATACACATCAGACAGCAGACGAAGGTATTTTGGAAGAACGCCTTGAGAACGCAGAGTTCCGAATCATGCTGGGTGCTCGATTCTATCAAACGCTTTGGTAAGGTCAACGCTGACAATCCAGATGTTGCGGCCCCACTCCCAGGACTTCCCAGAAGCTTCCTCGAGTGCCACACATGCATCATCAATCGATTTCCCCTGTCGGAAAACGACCTGATCAGCGGCCTGTTGACCATCCAGCGCGGGCTGGATCCGTGCGAAGATGAGTCTGGATAATATTCTGTATGTAATTTTGAGCAGAGCGATCGGCCTCCGATTCTTGACATCCTTCCGCGGGCCGCTCTTCGGAAGCATCGTGAACAGAGTTTCTTGCCAGCTGGGTTCGAGAAGCCCTGTTTCGAGCATATGGTGGAACCAAACAAAAAGCAAATCCAGGAGCGCATCGCCACCATGCAAAAAAGCATCTCGAGAGTGATGCCGTTCTTGTCTGCGCACCTGCCCTTTTTCATCTTCCGTAGTGCGGACTGCAGCTCGACCATCGTGAAAGGTTGAATGTTGTCAGGACCTTTGTTGCAAAATGTCTGGAACCGACTTGCACGTGATCCCGGTGAGCTCGTTTAAAACAAATGTTTCCCAGTGATTCCCGAAACTCATCTCCAACGATGGGGCATCGTCGGGAATTCTGCATGGGGTGCATGTGGATTGCAGGGGTGTGCCCG